TAATGCTTTTAGCRAACTCAACATTGATATCAAAATTAATCAACTTACATCATCCGGTTGAAGGTTGTTTGTTGYTTGTAYAGCAGATTCAGCTTCTACTGCATCAACAGGGGATACCAAGGGACCTGGAGTGTTGGACATCTGATGTCTAGATGACTTAGGGGTACTAGACAAGAATGGGAAAAAAAGATTAAGATATGCTAGTTAGGCATAGGGACCCTGTGCAATATTATTGTCAATTTAACAGCTATTATTATTCTTAATTAATTTATGGACTGCTATGGATCATGTATGAGAATTTAGGCTTCTAGATGAAAATTGCATATTTAAAAGAGTACAATATGTTTTCTGTGTTATTTGTTGCCCAGACATTAATTATGAAATCTGCTCATTAAACATACCTTGTGTTTAAAGTCCCACTGCCATCAGCCAATGAAATCCAATGACSAGTTGGAAGAGCATTGGGAGTTTTAGGAAATTGACTTTCAGGGATAGGTTTTTCCTCATTAGCATGTGATTGGTTCATGTCATTATTATCTTGATGTCTTGATTCATTGACACTTGGTCCCTCTATTCTTGAGATRGTGACATTGTCTAGTTTCAGTGGTTCTGGGATTAGTTTTTTCTTTGTTAAAGGTGTTGATGTGACTTGTAATGGTTTGTTATCAGTATTGTCTTTGAAGCAAGGTGAAACTTCTTTACCGACAGGTGATTCCCKTTGTGTYCTTCCTTTAGTAGAATTCACTTGGCTAGTAATATTTACAGTTTGCAGTTTATCTTCATCTATTGGCAGGCTGTGTCCATCAGATGGGTGTCTTATGTTCTGCTGTTGATGGTTWGGTGTTGCCCTGGGTGACATCTCATGTAATTCTGCCTGGMCATTTGAGCTCTCCATAAGCTGCCGCCTTAGTTCTGCACTTTGCTTTTCATGTTCTTCAAGCTGTTTAAGGACACTATTCTCCTGGTTTCTCTTGATTCGATCCAAAGAGTCTTGACTATCATGTATCTCTCTCTTAGATGGCTTATTATCTTTTGAGTGGCTTACTTGATCGGCATGATTACTGTTGTGATTGTTTTGSTCTGCCTGTGTGCTAATATCTTGGTTATTAGGTTGTGGAATATCTGCTTCATTTAGCGAGTCCCTTCTGGGGACACCCTCTCCAGTCTCAGGTTCAATTGGCTTGAAATCAATGTTCRGTTTAGTGTAATGAAAGTTGCTGTAAGAATTAGAAACTTTCTTGACACTGGMAAGAGATTCAGGAGGATTTACTGGTTTTGACTCAACCTTACTTGCAGTTGAGGGCCTTTCTGACATTAAMAGACTTTTTGAAAGGTTCTCTGCCTCATTTTGCAGTCTTTTGTTGGATAAATTGAATTTTCTAATCTGTGAAGTCTTTTTGAAATTGACTTTCAATGATACAGGTTCAAAAGGAGAAACAAAGCTTTCTTGTGGCAAACTGTGAAGCCATGAAAGGAAATTTCCTGTACTTTCATGTGAAGCGCCAGCAAGAACACTGTTATCRACATTAATACCATCGTTGTCAACTTCGCCATTTATGGCTCTCTGGTGACAATAATCCACACAGTTCTCAAAACACAGCCCTTTAACAACAAGRTTYACAAGTCTGTTCTGTGAAACGGATGGTAGAACTTTCTCATTTCCTTTCTTTTTTTCAAGYGGCATAACTTTTTTCAGAAGMTCGACCACTTCCCCAAAACACTTAATCCTAGCAGTTTCAGGATTCCAGCCCTGGTATTCTGGTTGATCATAGAGATCTGTAACTGTTAAAAGCCAGCATAGTTTAGTGTAATCACTCTTTGTGGGGCAGTTCGTTTCCAAATGATTTAAACACTTGATCATGTCTTCAATAGAATAACTCGAGCTTACACCTTCGACACCAGATTTGAAGTAYAAGATTTCCATAAATTTCTCTCTAAATATAAGATAACGAAATGACTTCGCATCAAACCCTTCAAGTTTCTCCAATGGCTGTGAATAAGTAAGTATAGCATCCCATTCGCCGTCTARTATAAGCTGACGAAGAAAAAGAACATCATCATTGTAGCCACAATTTGTTATGCCTGTTTCCCTCTCTAAGTTTCTTGCAGATTTGTGAAGTTTACGGGAGCTCAAAAACTGCAAAACTAAGCGGATTACTTGAATCTCTTCCAGAGAAACCAAAGCACTGCTTCCAGTCATATTGTAGYTCTATATTCAACGAGCTGTGATCGGTAACTAGGACGCAAAACACTTGAATTTAAACGACCATTTTGAATATGTGGCCAAACTATGAGACCACAAGCGTAGAAAACTGTCTTGACAGTCGATTAAAACCGTTGAAAACTGTTGACCTATGGATTTAGGTCTCGCATTATGCTAATGCAGTCCAGTAACTATTGGAAATATAAATAGAAATGCACTTTTTTGGTTAACAAAGCCTCAGGTCGTAAATTATGCATTTCGGATCGCGCCAAACTGGTTGGTCACTGCGCGTGCGCGTGATYTCTTAACACAGGAAACCCATCAAACAATAACAAACCTGTGAATSAAGACAAAGGGAAATAGATCACCATTTGTGAATGAATTTTGATTGTCATTGACTGATTTTACTTGATTTCACACATGTAGGGATTTATTTTCGTTCGAAAAAATACTAAACAAACTGATTTGTGTGCAGCCACAGTATTATMAAAAAAATCAAATACTTTTAAACCATTTCACTGCCCCCTTATTTTGTTTTATTAGAGTCCTCTGAAGAAGTCATGAACACAGTAAAAGGGTTAAAACATCTCAGCCAACTGCACAAAGGCTAGCATATATTCATGGAAMTATATCATGGTAATTCTGCTTTAATATGATATCATTTAAATAGCTATCTTATTTTAGAAATAGAGGATATTACATGGGCGCGCGGAGATACAGATTTCATTTCTTCGAGTGTTGAAAAGATCTCTCACGAGTGAGCGTAGCGTAGCAATTATCATATAATTACATATGAAAGCAAATTATGCCATAAAATATCTTTTTTCTTACTTCCACTATATACAGAAACTTCAAATGCGATGTTCTAGTGAAAATAACATGTTATGTTCACTAGTGAAAATATCAATTTTATGAAATGGAGAAATATAGGTATCTCATAGATAATTATAAGATAAAACATTTACTTTTTGTTAACAGGTTGCCTTTATATTTTCAAATCAACTGAGTGGCCTGGTCAACAATTATTATACAATCAATCAATAACAATYCCATTCTTTGTCAATGATAAAAACTTCAACCAAAYGCGTACAATTAGTGAAAACAGGTCATCTTTCACAAGCTAAGGTCCTGTGAAATAAGTACTGTTGATAGAATTAAAAAACTTGATATCTACAAAATTTCTATTTGTTTATAATCTAATCTTCGTCATCTGATAGTATGATAATAGGGCTCGTTTTACTTGGATKTGATGGYTGACATCCACTTTCAGCACCATTTCCAGGCAATTCTCTAGGATGTAGTGAATTTCCTGCCAAASGCCTTTTACTATTATCCTTKCCTACTGGACATTTGCTRCTGTTTGACTCCAAACTTTGAGCTGAGTTCAATGGAGATCTACTGCAATAAGGAAGTGTTTCGGTGGCTACATTCTCAACAGGAATTTTGTCAGATGGATGA